ATCATATTACATCATATTATATCATATTATATGTCTTCCGGATTGAATTCATTAATATTGTTATTTAACACATTAATTAATGAATGAACGATTCCCGTGGAATCTCTGGGGAATTCCCAGTCCCAGCTCACCATCCTGGTTTCCTCCCAGCAGGGTTTTGCTGCGGATCCCCTTGCACACATCCAGGATCGTGGCTCCCACGTAGGCGATCTCGGGGCCGAACCTGAAACTCTGGAAAAATCCCGGGATCAGCAGGAAAACCAGAAGGAAATCTTGGAATCTATAAAATTCTATCTTTCTATATGGAATTATGGGATTCCCAGCAATCTTCTGGACAGTTTTTTTCCATGGGAAAAGCATCACAATCCCTCCAAAACATTCCTGGGAATCTTGGTTATTCTTAAGACCTTCTGGAGAACTTTTCTCTTGGAAACAGCTTCAAAATATTCCTGGAAATCCTGGTCATTCTTAAATTCAAATTATGAGATTCCCACCAACCTCCTGGACAATTTTTTTCCTGGAAAAGGCATCAAAATCCCCAAAATATTCCTGGAAATCCTGGCCATGGGCTGGGACACCTCCCACCCCTTCTGGAGAACTTTTCTCTTGGAAAAAGCATCAAAATCCCTCCAAAATATTCCTGGAAATCCTGGTCATTCTTAAATTCAAATTATGAGATTCCCACCAACCTCCTGGACAATTTTTTTCCTGGAAAAGGCATCAAAATCCCCAAAATATTCCTGGAAATCCTGGCCATGGGCTGGGACACCTCCCACCATCCCAGGCTGCTCCAGCCCCAGTGTCCAGCCTGGCCTTGGACACTGCAGGGATGCAGGGGCAGCCCCAGCTGCTCTGGCAATTCCAGCCCAGCCAGGAATTCCTCATGGCCAAGATCCCATCCATGGCTGCCCTCTGGCACTGGGAGCCATTCCCTGTGTCCTGTCCATCCCTTGTCCCCAGTCCCTCTGCAGCTCTCCTGGAGCCCCTGCAGGCCCTGGAATGTGCTGGAAGCTCTCCCAGGAGCCTTCCCTCCTCCAGGAGAACATTCCCAGTTTTACCAGCAGCCCCAGGTCTGGTGGATCCCACAGCTGGATCCAGCATTCCAGATGTGTTCCCCTGAAAAAAGTGGAATCTCCCTGAAACAAAGCCTTAATCCCAACTCCCACTTTTCCACCAACAGGATGAGATCCCTCCACTAAAGCCCCACAACTGCCAGATTCCCCAGTAATCCAAGGAAATGCAAACCCTCCACAGTGCCAAATGTTCCATGGATCTGGGATTTATCCATGGAAAACACCGCCCTTACCTGGGTCAGGTAGTACATGTGGGTGTGAGGCACCAGGTAGAGGGTGTTGACGGCCCCTCGGAAGGTGTAGATCTGCTGGTGGGGGTCTCCCACCAGGATTTTCCCACATTTTTGGGATTGCACGATATCCACGATGGCTGTGAGGGAAAAAGAAAATTGGATCATGAAAGAAGAACCTGCTCCAAACCCAAGGGAATGTTCAGTTTGGATCATGAGGGAAGAGCCTACTCCAAACCCAAGGAAAAGTTCAGTTGGGATCATGAGGGTCCAAATCCAAGGAAAAGCTCAGTTGGGATCATGAAAGAAGAACCTGCTCCAAACTCAAGGAAAAGCTCAGCTTGGATCATGAGGGAAGAACCTGCTCCAAAACAAAGGAAAAGCTGAGTTTGGATCATGAGGGAAGAACCTGCTCCAAATCCAAGGAAAAGCTCAGTTTGGATCCTGAGGGAAGAACCTGCTCCAATCCAAATCCAAGGAAAAGCTCAGTTGGAATCATGAGGGTCCAAACCCAAAGAAAAGCTGAGTTTGGATCATGAAGGAAGAACCTGCTCCAAACTCAAGGAAAAGCTCAGCTTGGATCATGAGGGAAGAACCTGCTCCAAATCCAAGGAAAAGCTCAGTTTGGATCCTGAGGGAAGAACCTGCTCCAATCCAAATCCAAGGAAAAGCTCAGTTGGAATCATGAGGGTCCAAACCCAAAGAAAAGCTGAGTTTGGATCATGAAGGAAGAACCTGCTCCAAAACCAAGGAAAAGCTCAGTTGGGATCAGGAGGGTCCAAACTCAAGGAAAAGCTCAGTTTGGATCATGAGGGAAGAACGTGCTCCAAATCCAAGGAAAAGCTCAGTTGGGATCAGGAGGGTCCAAACTCAAGGAAAAGCTCAGTTGGGATCACGAGGGAAGAACCTTCTCCAAACCCAAGAGAAAGCTCAGTTTAAATGTCAAACCTGAGGGGAAAATTTGTTTAAATTCCAAGTATTTAGGTTGAGATACTTCCACCACACTCCTGAGCACAAGGAAATCCCCTCTAGGAGTGGGATTGGAGCTCCAGCTCCTGGAATAACTCACCTGGAGTGCAATCCTGGGCTTCATCCACAAAAATGGCATCGTATCCTGAGAGCTGGGGCTTGCTGAGCTGCCAAAGTTTCAAATATCCTGAGGGAAAAAAATCAGGAATTTCAAGGAGAGGGAAGATCCACCAGGATCTTCAAAACAAATCCTTTTTTTGCTTTTTTTTTTTTTTTGTGACATTTCTGCTTTCGCTTCCTGTTTGGAATTTCCACATTTGGAAGGGTTGCAAAAAATCTCTTTCTCCCTTGGCCTTGAAATTTGATTATTTCCAGCTTCTTAATACCCACCAAAAATCCCAAGAAAAAGGTTTTTCCCAGCTCTTTTCAGCACTATCCAGAGGAAAGGATGTGCTGGAAGCAACTTCCAACTTTTTTGGCCTGCTTTTTAGCCACTAAAAAATGGGAATATCCTTAAAATCTGCAAATTTTTATCCTAGTGGGAGCACAAATTCATTGAATGTATTTTATAAATACATATAAAATGAAAAACTGAGCCAGAGGGATATTCTCTGGTCAGTCAGTGTCAGGAAAAAAAGGGATTTTCTCCTTCTGGAAGCTCAGCCAGAACAGGAATAATAAATCCATTGATTTTTCCACCACCAAATCCCTTTTTCCCAAGGGATTTTCCATCTTTTTTACCATCACAAGTCATCTTGTATTTCTTCTCTGCATCTCCATCCAGCTTCTTCATGTTGTGCCAAATCTCTTTGGCCTCTTCCACATTGATCTAAAATGGGAAAACAGAAGGATTGGGATAAAATCATGGAATAAAAATAAAATTATGGAATGGTTTGGGCTGGAAAGGGCCTCAAAGCCCATCCAGTCCCACCCCATCCATGGGCAGGGACATTTTCCTCTATCCCAGGCTGCTCCAACCTGGCCTTGGGCATTGCAGGGATGCAGGGGCAGCCCCAGCTGCTCTGGCAATTCCAGCCCAGCCAGGAATTCCTCATGGCCAAGATCCCATCCATGGCTGCCCTCTGGCACTGGGAAGCCATTCCCAAAAAGCCCCAGATACATTTTTTCCCATCCCAAGCAGCTCCTCAGATCCACAAGGATTTGGTGAGGAGATAGGCTGGAAGTATTTTTTAGGGAAAGCAGGGATTATCCCTTTTATCCCAAACATCATCTTCCTCCCAGTCTTTGATTTCTCCTCCCAACTTTTTGATTTTCATCCCAATCTTTTGATTCTTCCTCCTCCCAACTTTTTGATTCGTCCTCCCAACCTTTTGTTCCTCCTCCTCCCAGTCTTTTGATTCCTTCTCCTCCCAACCTTTTGATTCCTTCTCCTCCCAATCTTGTGATCCCTCCTCCCAATTCCTTTGGAATGTTGCTTCCAGCCTCTGATTTCTTCCAAAGCTGACCCAAACCCTTTCTCTGGCAGAAGGATTGATTCCCCAGTACCAATCTTTCTTCCCAAATTTCAGTGAAACACGGGAAGATCCCTGCCAATCAACATTTTGGGAAGGGGAGGGTGACCACGAATTATTTTATAAAATCATGGAATGGTTTGGGTTGGAAGAGACCTCAAAGCCCATCCAGTGCACCCCACCCATGAGCAGGGACATTTCCCACTATCCCAGACCTCTCCAAAGCCCATCCAACCTCAGAAAATTCCAGATGCTCCATCCCAAAAACTCACTCTCTTTTCCTCTTGGCTCACTTGCTCCATCTGTCCATGAGTGTTTTTGAACCACAGGGGCACGTGCTCCTCACAGATCTCCTCATCTGAGGAGGAGAAGAAGTTTTCCAAGGTTTGGGACACCGTTTTCCCTCTTACAAACAGGGATTGGCCCTTCCTGTTCCGGAGGAGGAAGCTGATGGAATAAACGGACAGCTTGGAGAAGTTCAGCTTGCCTTTCTCTTTGTAGCTGTGCCAGAGGGACAAAAGAGACCAAAAAAAAGACAAAAAAAGGACAGAAAAAGGGATAAAAAAAATTAGAACACATAGAAATCCCTTTTTTTCTGCACTATCCCTGGAAAAAGCTCAGCTCTATATCTCAATTCATTCTAATAATGGAATATCCTTAAATCTGCACAGATTTGTCCTGGGGGAAGCACAAATTTGTTGATTTTAAATATTTTAGAGATGGAAAATTGAGCTCATCCCTGGAATTCCAGAGTGTTTGCAGAGCCAGGGAGTGGGATTTCCCTCTTTTTCTAGGTCATTCCTACCCCCAACTTAAATGTGCCAGAATTGGACAGAAATTGGATCATGAAAACAGCTCAGGATAAGGAAATTGGTCCTCCAAAAAAGGAATTGATCCTCAGGAAAAGAAGGACTTGGAGCAGTTGTAGCATTCCAGTGGGAATGGGAAGTGGGAAAACCTCATTGCCAGGGATTTCCACCTCCCAAACCTTTTGAACCGAAACCCCACCAGGGTACCTTCCTAAAATCCCTGGAGCATCCCACTGCATCCATCTGGAAACCACAAATGACAAATTTTCCCCCATTATTTGTGCTGCCTCAAAGCTTGGAATTTTCCCCCAAAACCACTTCCCTTTCCTCATCCTTTCCCTGCTTCCACAAAAGAATTGCAATTCCCCACTCACTATCTCCCAATGCTTCCAAAGGCCAAGGAGTGGAAGGTCTTGCAGGTGACATTCCTTGGAAAAACCTTTTTCCCCTTCTCTGCCACAGCTTTGTTAAAAGTCAGGTAAAGGAATTTCAGCTCTGAGAATTTCTCCGCGTACTTGACCAAGGTTGAGGTTTTCCCTGTGCCTGAAGAGGAGAGGAAAAGAAGGAATAAAATAAAAATAAGGAATAAAATATCCACTCAGGAATGAATGATTCCTTTTTTTTTTTCTCTTACATGTTCCTCTCTTGCTGTCCCTTCAGGACCTGCTCCCTTTTTCACAGGGTCAATCCTTCAGGAACTGATCCTCCAAGGATTCCAGGGAAATCTCTACTCCAGCACCTGGAGCATCTCCTCTTCCTCCTTTCCCAAACTCGGGATCTGTAGGGCTGTTCCACATTTTCCCACTCCTCTCTCCACTGTTTTTACTCTGCCTCCCTTTTTGGCAGATTTTCCCTTAAATTTGTTATCCCAAAGGCACAAATTGATCCCCTTGGGATCTCACAATCCCTGTGACAGAGGGATCAGGGAGGGAAGGAGCAGATTGGGAATTGTCCAGGCATTTTTCCAACATTTTTGGCTCTTACCTGCAAATGCCATTATTTTCACTGTTTGGCCAGGCTCAATTTTGTGACTCAAAATCCTCTGCTGTTCATGGGTCAGTTTGACATCAGCCCATCCACTAAAAACAGGGAAAAAATTCCAATCAACAACGGGGAAAAGAATGAATCCTTTAAAAATTCCTAAAGTAAACCATCCCACTTAAAAGAAATTAACAGGGAAGCCAGGGATTGATTGATCCCATCCCAACTTGGTTATTGGGAAAAGGAGAAAAGCATGGAATGAGAAAATACTGGAGATCAAATAAAAAGTCTTGGGAAAGACTTTTTAGGAAACACAGGAAAACATCACACACCAGCAAAGGAAAATATCTTTTTAAGGGACCATTCTGTGCTTTAAGAATTAATTTGGCATCTTAAGCTCATTAAAACTGGTTTTATCTCTGTTAGACCTCAGTGCTGGATGAATTTATCCCATTTTCTTTCTCCAGGTGAGGATAAGGAATGAAATTGCTCAATCCAGCAGCAGAAAAGGAACCCAGCTTGGATCTCCACAGGCCAGGGAGTGTTTTATTCCTTATTTATTGGGAGAGCTGGGAATGTGTTGGAGCTCTAGATGCTGAGAATTTTAGATTTTCTGTACTGACAGACTCAGACTGATAAGAGAACACTGCATTTGACCTAAGGGGTGGAGAAGACTTCCAGAATTAATTAATAGCACTGAGATTACAAGTGTGTAGTTGAATTAGAAGTGTGTAATATCACTAAATAGAAAATTTGAGTTTAAACTTTTAAAATATAGTAATATATATAAAAAACTAAAATAAAAGTTTTTAAGACAGTAACTAATCCTTTACCTTCTTCCTTCTTCTTCATGAGTTTAAATAATGTTTTGTAATTAGACAAAAAATCCACATTACAAACGTCAAATAATTAGTTATTAAATGAAAAGTAAAAATAATTTAAGTATAATTTCTTCATTAAATAGTTCAACCTTAAAAAAACCTTGTATAGAAAAATTCACCATTTTGTAACATATTAGTAAAATACTATAAAACTCACAACTTATAAATTAATAAACATCTAAACCTAAACACAAAATGCCATCTCTACCCTTCCATGATTCCAAACCCTTCCATGATTCCAAGATAGACCCAGCAGCAAATTTAAACTCAGCACTCCCAAATTTTACAAATCTGAGGCCCAATCCTGATTTTCCTCTGAGAATTCATGGGAAGGTGGTGAGGAGCAGGATCAGCTGTGCCACTGATCCACCTCCACCTTTTCCTGCTGTGGAATATTTGGGATATTTGTTCCTCACTCCATGGAATGCTCAGCATGCACTGCTTGGATCACCTGGGACACAAATCCATTCTTCCCTCTTCCAGAGGCTGCACAACTCCAGAGGCATTTTCCATCAGATACAAATAGTAGAAAATATTGTAGTGAATCCTGAAAAAAAAAAAAATAGGATAAAACAGGAATTACCACTGAGAAATCATTAATAACAAATTAAACCTCTGCAACCACTTAAACACCACCAATATCCTGGATAATTAAAAAAAAAAAAGCCTCAAGCTCTGCAGGAAATAATGAGTAATTTAAAATGTTCTTTAAATGTATTCTGCCTTTAGAAATGACAGCAAAGGCACTGTGGGGTCAGCTCTGAGTGTGGCCTCTCCCTCAGCCCTGCCAGGTTTGTGTCCCAGGGTTTTCCATGCCAACATGACCTGGGATCAGAGTCCAGGGGATAACTCTGCTCTCCTGAGCCACAATTAACAACAGAGCTGGGGCTGGGGGACCTCAGAGGGAATTTGGGGCTGCTTTGGGCTTTTAGAGTGAAGATTTTGGTTTAGAATGGTTTTAGGGGAGGTTTTTAACTCTGATAATAATTCTTGGTGGTTTTTCACTGCAGGGGGAAAAGAGATTCTTTGGTTTTAACTGTGTGACAACAATTGGTTTAAAATTAACCTGGGTTCTCCAGCAAGGTTTTCCCTCTTTTAGGACAGTTTTGTTCCTTTTTTCCAGCCCTCCAGGACAGACTTTGTGTCTCTCATCACGATTTGGATCCTCAGACTCATTAATTACTGCAAACAGCAATCAGGCAATTCCTCCAGGACACATTTCCTCCTTATTCCCAGGAGGAATTCCCACTTTTTCTGGTCTGGGCTGTCCAGGGAGATGGAAACTCTAAAATCCCTGGATTTTGACCTGGATCCCAGCTCTCATTGCTGGCCAGGGCCATCCTGCCACATTTCCTGCAGGTTAACGACTTTATCCAGCAATTAATCAATCATTAACATTCCAAACAAACATCCCAGTTTCCCTCAGGATGAGCCTTTCCCTGTCCTACAGTCCCTTAGAACTCACAGCTTCCAGAGCCATTTAATTCCTGGATATTTTCATTTTCCACTCCAGTTCCTTCCCAATTTTCTCCCTGTGTCCTTCATCCTTATCCCCACTGCAATCCTGAAGGAATCTCAAGGAAATCTCTGCTCAGATCCCTTTTTTTTTGGGAACAAAAGGATCATGAGGGAAGGAGCTCCTAGGACTTGGAATGAAGTAAAATAAATCAATTTTGGGGAGGTAATAAAAACATTAAATTGTTGTAGCTGAGCAGGAACATTCTTTAAATCCTGCTTTTATTTTGGGAAAAATTGGAGGTTTTTTGAATATTGCATCCTGAAAGGAGTGACAGGATAAGGGGGAATGCCAGAGGGATGGGATAGATGGGAAATTGGGAAGGAATTCCTGGCTGGGAGGGTGGGGAAGCACTGGAATGGAATTCCTAAAGGAGCTGTAGCTGCCTCATCCCTGGAAGTGTCCAAGGCCAGGCTGGAGATCCAAATCCCCTGGGAACTGGAGGGATTTGAAACTCAAAGTTGGAGAGACCTCCGAGCCTCTTCCAGGGCCTGAAGGGGCTCCAGGAGAGAGACTTTGGGATAAAGGATGGACAGGACACAGGGAATGGCTTCAGACAGGAAAAAAGGGGAGATTTGGGGTGGATATTGGGAAGGAAATTCCCAGAGAAGCTGCAGCTGCCTCATCCCTGGAACATCCAAAGCCAGACTGGAGCAACTGGGAATGGTGGGAAGTGCCCAGGGCAGGAATGGGAAACTCCTGACCTGTTGGAGATGGGAATGCTCCCATCCTGCTGGGAATTGGAGGGATTTGAAACTCAAAGTTGGAGAGACCTCAGAGCCACTGCTGTTCTGCTGGGATTTGGACAGATTTGAAACTCAAAGTTGGAGAGACCTCAGAGCCACTGCCAGGGCCTGCAGGGGCTCCAGGAGAGCTGCAGAGGGACTGGGGACAAGGGATGGACAGGACACAGGGAATGGCTCCCAGTGCCAGAGGGCAGCCATGGATGGGATCTTGGCCATGAGGAATTCCTGGCTGGGCTGGAATTGCCAGAGCAGCTGGGGCTGCCTCATCCCTGGAATCATCCCAGGCTAGATTGGAGCAGCCTGGGGATGGTGGGGAGTGTGCAGGGCTGGAAGGGGAAGCTCCTGACCTGTTGGAGATGGGAATGCCCTTGTTCCTCATGGCCAGGAGCAGTGTGGCCATGCAGTGGAGCACCTCGGTGACCTCCAGCACGGCCAGCTCCGAGCGGGGACTCCAGAAACGTTCCAGCAGCCTCTGGATGTCACCAACACCATCAGAGAACAGCACCATGACAGCAAAGATGGCCCACATCTTCTCAGGCTGGGAAAGGACATGGAAAAGACAGCAGAAAGATTGGAGTTTCCAGGAAAATCCTGCTTGGAGGTGGAAAAATTCTGTGAGAAGCTGTTAAAACCTAAATGGATGCCTTGAGGCAAACCCTGAGGCATCATTGTCAGCCCAAATCATCCCAAATAACACCACAGAGGGAGGAGTCTGGGATACAGGAGGGCAGAGTGACCTCAACCAAGTTTTAGGATGGGTAAAAAGGGAGGAGCACATCCCGTATTTCCATCCTGTCCAGCTTTATCCATCCCAATTTATGGGAATGGCACGAAGGAAAACCTGCATCTCCCCAAAAATGCAGGCTGAGGTCAGTTCCCAGGGGAATGCTGAGTGACTGGAGAGGTGCTGGCTGTTCCCAAACCACTTTTTGTGGGATTTATGGAATCATTCCTTCCAGTTGTTTGCCTTGATTCCAGAGGAACCAAAATCCATGAAAACAGAGCTCCAGGGTTTTCCTCTAAATCCATTTGGTGACAAGAGGCACCACAAACACACCCAGAGGTTTGGGGACACTGCAGGAATTTGTTAAAAAAACAGAAATAAGAGTGAAACTCACCCCAGGCTTGCTCTTTAAATCTGGGAATTTGTTGAGGACACAGATTTGAGCCTTTGGGAAGAGGGGATGACTTCCCAAAACCCGGAGAAGCGCGCTGGGATCCACCTTGGCTCCCGTGGATGCCACCAACCTGTGCAGGAGGAATAACAAGGGATTTGCTCTCCAAGGAATCTGTGGCTCCTCCAAAGCACATCCTGCTAATTGCCACAGCTCATTATGAATGCAGCAAGGACCCTTTGAGATCCACTGAACTAATCAAAAATAATGTCAATAATTGGCAGAAGGGATTGCCTCTGGACAAAGAGCATTGCACACAAATTAAGTGTTTAGCTAACTTTGTAAATGACCAAATACCCATCTTTTAGAAAATTTTAAAATATTCATGTGTCTGGAGATGGTTTTTCAAGCACAGTTTTGACTTCTGCACTCACAGGGGAAACAATCAATCATTCCTGCTGTCATAGTTTTACATGAGAGATATGTTAAAAAGTGATACAAAGCTTCCAACCATTAAAAAACTGGACATGCCTCTGAAAACACACGTTAAAAGACAAAACAAACCAGGAAACTATTAATAAAATTTTCTTTATACCCTTTTAAAATTTTAAACCTACTTTACCCTTCTCTTAATCCTATCTCACAACCAAAAATAAATACATTAATAATTAACCAACATCAAAAGCCACTGCACTTTTTAATACATTAACAAAAAACCCTTAAAATTAAAAAAAATCTTAAATTAACAAACCAAAACCACTACACCTGCCAACATTTTTTTACAAGCTTTTGCTTCATTGAGTGTACCCCAAGAAGTAAAAACAGACAATGCCCCACATACAGAACTCTGAGGCCATCAGCAAAAATAGATTTTCCCATCTTGATATCTCTCCTGGTTTGGGTTTTTGGTTTGTTTGTTGTCAGACCACGCTGGATAAAGTGACACTGAGGAAGTCCATGAACAAATCCAGAGCTGGAAATAACTTCAGAAACTCAAATGCTGCTGAGTGCAAACAGCTGAGCCTTAACTGCTGGGGAATATTTGAGGTGTTGGGTGATACCTCACTGTTCCAGATCATGCCAGGGGATGGGAATCTGGGATTTTTGCCTCAGGCAGTGCTGAGCAGCCTGCTCTAGAGGGAGGTGTCCCTGCTCATGCAGGGCAGTTGGAGCTGAAGGATCTTTAAGGTGTCTTCCAATACAAACCTTTCTGTGATTCTGTATTTTGTGGGAAAAGGCAGAAAAGAAAAAAAGTGTTTGGGTCTAGTAACCAAACCATGCATGTATTGCCTACATCTCTCCACCTGAACACACTGATGTCTCAATAATAATTACAATTTATTCTTAAATCTGCTCTCTACCTGAACACACTGATGTCTCAATAACAATTATAATTTATTCTCAAATCTGCTCTCTACCTGAACACACTGTCTCAATAATAATTTATTCTTAAATCTGCTCTCTACCTGAACACACTGTCTCAATAATAATTTATTCTTAAATCTGCTCTCTACCTGAACACACTGTCTCAATAATAATTACAATTTATTCTCAAATCTGCTCTCTACCTGAACACACTGATGTCTCAATAATAATTAAAATTTATTCTTAAGTCTGCTTTCTACCTGAACACACTGTCTCAATAATAATTACAATTTATTTTAAATCTGCTTTCTACCTGAACACACTGATGTCTCAATAACAATTATTCTTTAATCTTAAATCTACTTTCTACCTGAACACACTGATGTCTCAATAACAATTATAATTTATTCTTAAATCTGCTCTCCACCTGAACACACTGATGTCTCAATAATAATTACAATTTATTCTTAAATCTGCTCTCTACCTGAACACACTGATGTCTCAATAATAATTAAAATTTATTCTTAAGTCTGCTTTCTACCTGAACACACTGTCTCAATAATAATTACAATTTATTTTAAATCTGCTTTCTACCTGAACACACTGATGTCTCAATAACAATTATTCTTGAATCTTCTCTTCACCTGAACACACTGATGCCTCAATAAAAATGACACTATTTTCAAATCTTCCCTTTATCTGAACACACTGATGCCTCAATACTAATTATTTTTAAATCTTCTCTCCACCTGAACGCACTCAGATTAATAATAATTATGCTTTATTCTTAAATCCTGAACACACTGATATTAACAGAACTACACACAATTCCTCCTTTCACTAGGAGGAATTCACTGTGCTACCCCCAAAGCACCCCCAGTGTGGCTGCAGAAGCTTTCATTAATCCCTGCTGTGTTTTCCATGGAATTTGAGCAGCTGGAAATTGGATTTCCAGCCCATTCCTGAGCCAGGAGCCACTTGGACAAGAATTCCCAGTTTTGTGACCCAGAAGAGCTGGAATAAATTCCTGCATCCAGCTCTGAGCCTGGAATTCTGGCTGTCTCCAAGTCTCCTTTAGTGGAATTCCATGCCCAGGGGGTGGAATGGATGATTTTAAGGTTCTTTCCAATCCAAACCATTCCATGATTCCAGAAGCTGGATCCACCTTGCTCCAAACCCAATTCCAGCACACAGAATTCCCCTCTGAATGACAGGGATGAGAGCAAAGCACTTGTGGTTATCAAGGATTTCTCTTGGGATTGGGTTTGTTGGGAGCTGTGGGGGATAAATCAGTGCAGATCCAGGAAATCTGCTTGCCAGGAATGAGGAAAGAGGAAAATCCATTGGAAACAGAACCATGGAATCATACAGCTTCTCATCAGGCAGGGGAGGACAGGAATTCAGCCCATTTCCACCTTCCCATCCTGGCATGAAATCATGGGAATATGATTCATGGGATCAGTTTTGGGCTTGGGAAAGGAGCTGGGAAGGGTCTGGAGAACCAGGAGCAGCTGAGGCAGCTGGAGCAAAGGAGGCTCAGGGGGGACCTTGTGGCTCTGCACAAGTCCCTGCCAGGAGGGGACAGCCGGGGGGGTCGGGCTGTGCTCCAGGGAACAGGGACAGGAGGAGAGGGAACGGCCTCAGCCTGGGCCAGGGGAGCTCAGGGGGGATTTTGGGAAAAATTTCTCCATGGAAAGGTTGTCAGGCATTGCAATGAGCTGCCCAGGGCAGGGGTGGAGTCCCCATCCCTGGAGGGATTTCAGTGCCCTGTGTGTGATAATTCATTTGTGGGGAATTCTGGAAGGAATTTGAGAAGGGATTTTTGAGTTATTTTTGGTGATGAGGTTTATTTTCCTTATTTCCTGTGTAGGTAGGAAGGGTGAGCTCAGCTCCCATTGTTATGGTATGGCTTACAAGGTCACAAGACCCTTAGCTATTAAGATTTTTTAATAAAAGTTATTGACTAATAGAATAATTAGTTGTTGACGAGTAACTAGGAGTTACTGACTAATAAAACACTGCTAACAAGGATATTTAAGTTTTTGACCCAATCCTTAAATGTTTCATCTTATGGACTTTTGTTATAGTTAAAGTTTTTTTAGCCCATCATGTTATGACACACAAACTTAGGGTATTGTATTCTATTTTTATTTTTTGTTTACTTTTGCAGCTACTTTATTTTTTCTAGATCTTAAACTCTAAAAATTTCCTTTACTTATTTTAATGTGTCTCTGCTTGAAACTAAAAATCCACATTCTTGCTTTTAGCACTTAAATTTGGAAGTTTATTCTAAGGTGTCAGGTCAAATCTTGTGTTTAATTCTAAGCTTTGGCTTACAGCCCCAGAGTTCTGAGAGTTCTCAGGTTCCAACATGTGTGGATGTGGCCTTGGAAGTGTTGGATTCCATGTCTTAGAGGCCTTTTCCCACCTAAAGAATTCCATTATTCCAGGATCTTGTGTCCAAACAGGGTAAGAAAAAAGAAAAGGAAACTTTTGTACCACTTTTTAGTGTTTTTTCCTATTAAAATCACTTTTCCCTCCCCATTTTCCTGCACATCTTCCACCTGTTTAGAAGACAAACCTGGAAATTCCTGGGATCCAACAGAAGAAATCCCAAAGCCAGGAAAATGTGAGGATCTGCAGGTGCAAACTGGACTCACCTGAGCAGCCCCAGCACACAGCCCTGCTGCTCCTTGGTTATGGAGAATTCCTGCAGGATCTGCTCCAGCCTCTGCAGGGCTGAGTCCTCCCTCTTCAGGTACTGCTGGTAGAGCTTTTTCCAAGGGATAAACTGCAATGGGAAGCACAAAGCAGCAGGTTTCACCTCATTTGGCATTCCAAAGGGGGTTTCCAGGGGGAAAGAGAGAAGGCAGGGGGCTGCAAAAGTCATGGGGGTCAAAAAGGAGCTGGATGGGAAAGGGAGATGGGGAAGGAAAAAAAGAGAAGGGGGGAAAAAAGGAGAAAGGGGAAAGAGAAGGGAAAAAAAGAGAAGGGGGAAAAAAGGGAAGGGGGGAAAAAAGGGAAGGGAAAAAAAAAGAGAAGGGGGAAAAAAGAGAAAAGGGAAAAAAAGAGAAAAGGGAAAAAAAGAGAAACAAGAGACACCACAGACACACCCAGAGGTTTGGGGACACTGCAGGAATTCCCTGGATAATTCCTGCCAGGAAAAAAGGCTGCAGGGAAAACTGTGCAAGGGGGATTTTATGGAATCTTGCAGGGTTTTTTTCCATGAATTGGAAGAAATGTTGCTCCAACATGGATTTGGGATATAGGGGAGCAACTTTTGGTCCAGAAGACTAAAAAAAAAACTAGCAGGAAATCTAAAAATTCATGGATTGTGGGAAGAATGGTGGGATTTAAAGGAACAAACAGAGGTAGTCAGAGCATGGATGATCCCATGGGATGATCCCAGAATGTTCCTTACCTGTGGATATCAGGTTTTGGATATAGGGCTGCAACTTTTGGTCCAGAAGACCAAAAAAAACTGGCAGAAGACCTCAAAATTCATGGATTTTGGGAAGAATTATGGGATTTAAAGGAACAAAGGGAGGCATGGATGATCCCAGGGGATAATCCCAGAGCGTTGTTCCCCACAGATCTTGGATACAGAGGAAACAACTTTTGGTCCAGACCAAAAAAACTGGCAGGAGACCTCAAAATTCATGGATTTTGGGAAGAATTATGGGATTTAAAGGAACAAAGGCAGGCATGGATGATCCCATGGGATGATCCCAGAGTGTTCCTTACCCGTGGATCTTGGATCTTTTGGTCCAGAAGACCAAAAAAAAAAAAAGGTAGGAAATCTAAAAATTCATGGATTGTGGGAAGAATGATGGGATTTACAGGAACAAGGAGGCAGGCAGAGCATGGATGACCCCATGGGACAATCCCAAAATCTGAGATGATTCCTTGGGAATCATGGGAACCAAAACCTGGGATGATCCTGGAGCATTCTTTACCCGTGGATCTCAGATTTTGGAGATAGGGCAGCAACTTTTGGTCCAGAAGACTAAAAAAACCAGCAGGGAATCTAAAAATTCATGGATTGTGGGAAGAATGATGGGATTTACAGGAACAAGGAGGCAGGCAGAGCATGGATGACCCCATGGGATGATCCCAGAGCGTTCCTTACCCGTGGATCCCGGATTATCTCCCTCCAGGAGCGACACACCAGGCTCAGGCTCTGGTACAGATCCAGCACTGGCAGGAAAGCAAAAATATTCCTGAGGATTTCAGGAGGAAGATCATTCATGGATCCCTGAGGAACCTGCCAGCTCCGAGTGCCCAGGAGCCCGTAGTGGGAATCGGGAAGGGGCTCCACTTCCAGCTCTTCCCATTCCTGCTTGATCCCACTGAGCACTGGAATTTTCTCCTCAGGTTCCTCCCAGAGATCCTGCTCTGGTTTGGGAATTCCTCTTTTCCTGGAATGTCCCCTGGGAGGTGGCACCAAGTCCTGGGCATGCAGGGAAAGGGAGGAGTTGCTGACGGAATCAGGAGGTCCAGGGAAAAAGGGATCCAGTGGCTCTGCTTTGGGAATTCCTCTTTTGCTGGAATGTCCTCTGGGAGGTGGCACCAAGTCCTGGGGATGCAGGGAAAGGGAGGGGGTGCTGAAGGAGCCAGGAGGTCCAGGGAAAAAGGGATCCAGTGGCTCTTCCTTGATCCCACAGCTCGGCATCCCAGCAGTTCCCGCTTGTGGTGCCTTTGCGATCGTGAAGAAATCGGAGATCTTCCTCTGCCGGCCTGGTGCTGCACAAAGGGGAAAAGGGGGAATGAATTCCCTGTAAATCAGGGAATGAGGAAGAATTTGGGATTTTGGTGGCACGTCCCAGCTGGGCAGGGAATGTTCCTTCCCACCATCCCAGGCTGCTCCAGCCCCAGTGTCCAGCCTGGCCTTGGGCACTGCAGGGATGCAGGGGCAGCCCCAGCTGCTCTGGCAATTCCAGCCCAGCCAGGAATTCCTCATGGCCAAGATCCCATCCATGGCTGCCCTCTGGCACTGGGAGCCATTCCCTGTGTCCTGTCCATCCCTTGTCCCCAGTCCCTCTGCAGCTCTCCTGGAGCCCCTGCAGGCCCTGCAATGTGCTGGAAGCTCTCCCTGGATCCTTCCCCTGTCCAGCAGAACCCTCCCAGCCCAGCATTCCCAGCAGTACCTCCGGGGTGTCTCGGTGTCCCGTGGGTGGGATGAAGGCCCCGGGCTGTCCCTCCTCCTCCTCCCAGGCCCAGGGGCTGCCGCAGGGGGGCCGAGCCCTCGGGGCTCAGGGCCAGGGCCGCGCACTCGGGGGCTGTGAGCCGCCTCCTCCTGGAGCCGCGCATCCCTGGGGAAAGGGAGAAAGGGAAAAGCTCACACTGGGCTCTCCTCCCTGGCACCCTGAGAGGCCCCGGGGTGCAGAAAGATTTTGTGGAGTGATGGCTGAGAGATGATTTAGTTGGGATAGTTAGGGAATGATTTAGTTTGGGTATATTTAGTTAGAAACTCCAGCCCAGCCAGGAATTCCTGGAGAAGCTGTGGCTGCCTCTTGTTATAAATGACAATATAGCTATAATTTTATAATATAATATAATTTATCATCATATAAATAGAATTGCTATATAATTAGTCAATATTGTAATTATAAATATAATTATTATACAATTAATATAATATTATTACATTAGTATCATATAGCTTACTATATATCATATAACTTATATATCATATATATGACATATAAGATTATATACATAATTATATGATATATAATTTATTATATATCATATAACTTATTATATATCAATATAATAATTGTATATAATTATAATAATTATATATTATATTGATATATAATATAATTATATATTATACATAAAATAAAATATAATATAATGTATTAATAATACATAATAGAATGTATAAAATTTATTATATATTTGTATAATTATAATAATTATATTATCTAATAGAAATTACATTATAGATGCAATATATAATATATAATTGTGCTATATAGAATATATCTTTTATATATTATTGTATTATATAATGATATATTATTATTGATTGTAGAGTATTTAATATTTCTATGATAAATATAACAATACATAATATAATATAGGTATAGAATATAATACCATAATAATAAAGTTTTTTACTTCCACATTTAAGTGTTGGCTTTTACAAGTTATTGTTAACCACAACAATTTTTATATAATGCAATTTATTATTACAATTCCCTTTCATCTACTTTTTGGATATAACAGACTCTCAGCTTTTAGATACACCATTCACCATATCAAATAAATATATTATAGCTTAGGTCTTCACATAATCTTAAAATAGGAAGTATGTAATTAAATTTAATTAAAATTAAATTAAAATTATTATGCTGAATGCTTTTATTTATGTAACTAACTCAAATAATGGTATAAAATACTATGTTAATTCAATATATTTGTGGACTATCTTATCTAAATGATAATATCTCAATAAGAAGAACTAAGACACCAAGAAAAAAAAATTACTACTAATTCTCCAGTTGTCAAGAAGTGTCAAAACAATAAAATAAAACCTCAAGAAAAAATAAAATATATTAATTTTGATAAGATGCAGACAAGTCAGTGGTCAAAAACAAGAAAAATAATTCCCACAAAAATAAACTCACAAAAACACTGAAATACATATAATATTGGAATAGATATCTCATATATGTATTATATATAGAATATTGAAGTATCTATAGATACTAATTATATATATATAATTATATTATATTCATATATACTCCAATGTTATATATTATATATAGATATATACTCCAATATTATATATTATATATAGATATATACTCCAATGTTATATATTATATATAGATATATACTCCAATCTTATATATTACATATAGATATATACTCCAATGTTATATATTATATATATAATACTGAAGTATATATATAATATATATATATAACATAAAATATTGACATATATATAATCCTCATAAATATGCATTTAACCAATGTAATAAAAATATAGAAGAAAATTATTTTAAGCTAATGGTGTGCTTTTGGCAAGTTACACTAGATATATATAGAAAAAGAGATAAAATAAAATTTAAAAAAACCCAAAAAAATTTTAAAAAACCACCAAAAATCCAAAATAGAATAAAATAATAAAAATAAAATTTAAAAAATGAAATGAAAAGTCACTTTCCCAGGGAGGAAATTGGTTAAGAAAACTCCTTTTCATGGAATTTATGGAATGCTTTTATCCCTTCTTAAACTTTTAAAAAAGCCTTGTTCCTCCCACCCTGGATCCAACATTCCAGCACCCAAACCTTTCCAAGCTGGGATCATTCTTTAGCACAGCAAATTTAACCCATGTGCAGTTTAAAAAAAAAATCATCCTGGGAATTATTCCTATAAAATAACCAAACCTTGCTTGGAATAGGCATAAACTCCTCTCTTCTGGCTACAAAAAAGCCCCAAAAAATGCAATTTTTTCCACAAAAGAGCCCAGCCCAGCAGGAGTGGCTGTCACGGGATGAGCTCCCTCCTGCCAGCAGCAGCAGTTTCACTTTTGCTTCCTTAAATTTATTTATTTCTACTGAACACATCTGCAGCAGACCCAAAAATGTTGTTTTCCTGTTAGGGCAGGATCCAAGGAGCAGCCTGGTTATTCCTTGGGGTAATTTTTGGGGTTTTTTTCAAGCTGAATGATTTTTTTGGATGTGCTGCTCGCTCCTTTTCAGCTGAGCAGAGTTAAAACCGCTCAGCTCCCCGGGGAGGTTGTTTCCCAACATCCCAATTTCCTCCAAACATGGGAAATGAGGCAAATAAAAGGGAAAAAAAACAAATTCAAGACACTCCCGTGGCTTTTAGGAATGTGCTGAGAGAATTTGGGGCTGGATTTGATGATCCTAATGATCTTTTCCAACCGAAATCATCCCAGGATTCTACTTAAAAATGGAATTGCTCACTCAGGCTTCACCTGCATCCCTGTTTTTCCCAGATGGCTTTCAGTGTCAGCCAGGACACGACATTCCAGCTGGGAAGTCACAGGATCAGAGGATGGAGGGAGAAGCTCCAGAGGGACGAGAAATATTTGGGAGGAAGCTGGAGCTGCTCCTGGTTTTCCCCCCAGAAGGCCCTTCCCAAACCCTTTTCCCACATGGATGCACCGACCTGGTCCAGAGGGTCCCTTCATTTCCAAACCCCCCCATTCCCAAAGCCCCCTCGGTGCCAATGCCCCAATTCCAAGGATTCCCTCATTCCCAAGGGTCCCCTCAAACCCCAACGATTCCCCCATTCCCAAGGATTCCCTCAAATCCCAAGGATTCCCCCATTCCCAAGGATTCCCTCAAATCCCAAGGATTCCCCCATTCCCAAGGCAGCTTCAATGCCCAGAGTGCCCTCAGTGCCAATCCCCCAGTTCCAAGGATTCCCTCATTCCCAAGGAATTCCCTTTTAACCCTTTCTCAGCCAAGAGGCCCCCTGTTCACTCCCCCATCCTGTAACCCCTCATTTCCAATCCCTCAATTCCAAGGATTCCCCCTTTTCCAAGGGTCCCCTCACGCCGAAGGAGCCCCCATTCCCAAGGTCCCCTCAATGTCCAAGCTGCCCCGCAGTGCCAAAAACCCCTTTAATACCAAATCCCCCCTCATTCCCGAGGGTGCCCTCATTCCCAAACCCCCCAATTCCAAGGATTCCCCCATTCCCAATGGTGCCCCCAATGCCAAAGGAGCCTCCATTCCCAAGCTCCCCTCAAAGCCAAAGGTCCCCCGCAGTGCCAAATCCCTTTGAATATCATTCCCCCGCCTTTGCCAAGGGTCCCCTCAGTGCCAGTCCCTCAGTTCAGAGGATTCCCTCCTTCCCAAGGGCCTCCACATTCCCAAAGAAACCCCATTTCCAAGGGAACCCCTTCCTTGCCCCCCCCACGTTGCCCAGAAATGGTCGCGCCCTCTTCCCCCGGCCTCACCCGCTCCCGGCGCTCCCGGCACCGCGCGCTCCGCCGGCCCCGCCCCCTGCCCGTTGCCCAATCAGAACCCGGAGCAGCGCCCAGCGCTGTCCAATGGCGCAGCACTTCCGGGTTGGGCGGGGTTTATTTACTTCTCCCCTTTGCGGTGACGTCAGTCCCTCCGCGCGTGACGTCACGAGCGCTCCGCGGCTCGCGGGTGGGTTGGAAAAAACGGGAATTTTCCCGCGGGAATCGCGCGGCCTGGGATGGGCTGGGGAGGGAATGGGGGGGGATCTCAGAGTGCGGGAGTCCCGAAGGAATCGGGAATTTCTGATTTTCCTGGGGAAAAAAGGAATTTTTGGGTTTTTTTTTTCCTGAGGAAGTAGCGAATTTCCCGTTCGTTCGGGAGGGAAAAGGGAATTGCTGCTTTTCCTGGAGGAGGAATTGGTGTCTGACTGTCCGCAGGGAAAAGGAAATTAACTCGTTTTCCAGAGGAAAAAGGGAATTTCAGATTTTCCTCACTTAAAAAGAAAAATTTATGGATTTCCAGCCGGTTTCTGGCATTCCTAAGAGGGACAGGAATTTTCGAGTTTTCCCAGAGGGAATGGAAATTTCTGTGTTACCAGGGGGAGAGGCTGGTTTCTGATTTTCCTGAGGGAAGATTGAAATTCCTGGTTTTCCTGAGGGAGAAACCCATTGCTGGTTTTCCATATGAAAAAGCAAAATTCTCTTTTTGCTGATGGAGTGGCAAATTCCTTGTTTTCTCAAGGAAAAGGGAAGTTCCTTGTTTTCCTAAAGGAAGAGGGAATTTCAGGTTTTCTGGAGGAAGAGGTGGGGGTCCTGGTTTTCCTGAGTAAAAAGAAATTGCCCATTTTTCCCTGAGGAAAAAGGGAAATTCAGGATTTGCTGAGGGAGACTCTGGTTTCTGTTTGTCCTAAAGAAAAAAAAAATTCATTCTGCTTAAAGGAGAGGCTGATTTCTGGTTTTCCACAGGGAATATTTGGTTCCTGGGCATCCCAATGGAAAAGGGAATTTCTGGTTTTCCTGAGGGAAAAAGGAATTTCTGGTTTTCCTAAGGGAAAGATCAGATCCTGGATTTCCTAAGGAAAAGAAAATCCTATTTTTCTGGAGGGAGAGACCAGAATCTAATTTTCCAAGGAAAAACGTAATTCCTGCTTTTACTGAGGGGTGACAGCTTCCTGAATTTCAGAGGGAGAGGAAAATTCCTGGTTTTCCTGAAGGAGAGGACAGATCCTGGTTTTCTGAAGGACAATTTCTCATTATCCTGAGGGAGAAGGAAATTTCTGCCCATCCTGAGGGAGAGGCTGGTTTGTGGATTTCCTGAGGGGAAAATTCCCATTTTTCTGGAAGCAGACACCAGGCTCTGCTTCTCCTGAGGGAAAACCTCATTCCTGCTTATCCCAACCCCCAAATCAACCAGGATATTCCCCCAAAATCCCAATTTTTTGCCTCTTTCCCCTCAGGCCTGGCTCCGTGGTGGAGCAGGAGAGGCCGTGGCAGCTCCTGAGGCTGGTCCAGGAGGGAAACCTGGATGTGCTGTGGGATTTGTGGATTTCCTGAGGGAAAAATTCCCATTTTTCTGAAAGTAGACACTAGGTTCTGCTTCTACTGAGGAAAAACCTAAGGATTCTTGGATTTCCTGAGGGAAAAATTTCAGTTTTTCTGGAAGTAGACAGCAGCCTCTGCTTTTCCTACAGGAAAACCTCATTTCAGCTTATCCCAATACCCCAATCCAACCATAATTTCCCACAAATTCTCCATTTTTTTACCCCTCAGGCCCAGCTCCATGGCAGAGCAGGAGAGGCTCTGGCAGCTCCTGAGGCTGGTCCAGGAGGGAAACCTGGATGTGCTGTGGGATTTGGGAATTCCTGAGGGAAAAATTCCAGTTTTTCTGGAAGTAGGCATCAGGCTCTTCTTCTCCTGAGGGAAAACCTCATTCCTTCTTATCCCAACGCCCCAAACCAACCAGGATATGCCCGCAAAATCCTGGTTTTGTACCTCTTTCCCCTCAGGCCCGGCGCCATGACCAAGCAGGAGAGGCCATGGCAGCTCCTGAGGCTGGTCCAGGGAAACCTGGATGTGCTGTGGGATTTGGGAATGCTCCAGCAGCTCCAGGTCCTTATATTGGGATCCCAGAGCTGGACTCCATGTGGGATCACCTGAGTGGAACAGAGAGGACAGAATTCCCTTTGCTGCCCACACTGTGGATCCAGTTGGATTTTTGGGAGAAATTCCAGCCCTATCCCTGCTTTCCCCCTGTTTCTCCTAAAAGCTGTAAATTACTGCTCCACTCTTCCCTTAGGGATGGGGATTTCTGGAAAAAGAAAACAAGGATTCCCCTCAGCTCCCAGCTGAAAGCCTGGGATGGTCCTTTGCAGCTGAACTGCCACAAGTCCAAAGGCAGCATTCCAGAGCTGGGAATTGAGGCTGTGCCAGCCTGGAGCTGAGGCCAAGATTCCATGAGCCTGGATTTGTGTGGCCGTGCTCTTCCACACATGGAGTAACACCAGGGAGCTCTGCGCTTCCTAAGGCATATCCAAACCTTTGGGAAAAGTCTCAGTGCTGTAAAATCTCCTGGCTCCTCAGACAAAGCACCTGAATCAGATTTGTCATCCCAGGTTATTTTATTTCCCTGGATCTTCTTCCAGGACTCCCCTCATGATGGCTTGCACCAGGAGAAATTTGGGAGTGATCAAAACTCTGGTGGAGCACGGAGCCAACCCGTTGTTGAGGAACAAGGATGGCTGGAATTGCTTCCACATTGCCAGCAGGGAAGGGCATCCCGAGGTGCTCCGCTACCTCCTGGATGTGTCCCCAAGCTGCTGGGACACGGAGAGCACCACGGGGAGAACTCCTCTGCACACAGCAGGTACAGCAGGGAGCGAGCCAGGGAAACCTCTGGAATCCCATCCAGCCTCAGCTCATCCCCTAGGAGAGCCAGGTTTCCCTCCTGGACCAGCCTCAGGAGCTGCCACGGCCTCTCCTGCTCTGCCATGGAGCCGGGCCTGAGGGGAAAGAGGCAAAAAATCAGGATTTTGGGGGATATCCTGGTTGATTTGGGGGTTGGGATAAGCAGGAATGAGGTTTTCCCTCAGGAGAAGCAGAGCCAGGTGCTTACTTCCAGAAAAACTGAAATTTTTCCCTCAGGAAATCCAAGAATCCTTAGGTTTTTCCTCAGTAGAAGCAGAACCTAGTGTCTACTTTCAGAAAAATGGGAATTTTTCCCTCAGGAAATCCAAGCATCCTCAGGTTTTCCCTCAGAAGAAGCAGAGCCTGGTGTGCACTTCCGGAAAAATGGGAGTTTTTCCCTCAGGAAATCCACAAATCCCACAGCACATCCAGGTTTCCCTCCTGGACCCGCCTCAGGAGCTGCCACAGCCTCTCCTGCTCCACCACGGAGCCGGGCCTGAGGGGAAAGAAGCCCAAAAATGGGGATTTTGGGAGATATCGTGGTTGGTTTGGGGCGTTGGGATAAGCAGGAATGAGGTTTTCCCTCAGGAGAAGCACAGCCTGGTGTCTGCTTCCAAAAAAATGGGAATTTTTCCCTCAGGAAATCCACAAACCAATCTCTTGGAGTTCTTGGGATCCTTGGATCAAATTCTTCTCTCCCTGGCACAGATGGATCCAAGCTCCCTTGGAATATGGATGTGATTTTCCTTCCTGGTGTGTAAAGCTGGGAACTGCTCCTGGAAAACCTCCCCAGCTCCAAGCATATCCTGGCATTTGCAATTCCTGAAAGCAGCAGAGCTGCTCAGAGGAACTTTTTGGGATCTGCCTGGAGATGGATTTCTTTATCACAGCCTCAGGTTGGGCCTGGGGAGGTTCAGGTGGGATATTGGGAAAATTCCTTCCTGGAAAGGCTTGTAAGCATTGGGATGAGCTGCCCAAGGCAAGGGTGGAGTCTCCATTCCTGGAGGGATTTAAAATCCATGTGGATGTGGCACTTGGGGACACAGGTCAGTGGTGGCTTTGGCAGTGTTGGGAATGGTTGGGCTCCAGCACTTTCCCAACCAAAATGACTCCATGATTCCAATAATAAACTCCAAATTTTGGAGTCCCCTTGCTCTCATGCCATGGTGAGAATTCCAGGGGTCCTTTCTGCAAAGGGGAAGGACAATCCCTGCTGGGAATACACAGGAGCTGTTGTTGGAGCCCACCATGTCCAGTTCCCTTTCCCTGCCCTTTTCCTTGCTTTTAAGGGATATTTAAAGGGAATGGGCAGGTTTAGGAATCCCAGCCATCCTCAGGATTGTTGGGAAGCAGAAGAGGGCTCAGACCACACCCAGAGTGGGAATCAGGCTGTGCATTCCAGGTCCCAGCAGCAGGGATGAGCCCTGGCTACCCAAACTCCTTTCCCAAAGAATTTAATTGGGATTGACTCCCTGGAAAATCCCGAGGTGTTGGGAGGAGCCCCTGCTGTGCTGTCACTCCCGTGGCTTTTCCAGCCCTTGCTCTGTCACTCCTGGCTCATCAGCAGTGACAATTCCAGCCCTTGGGCACCACTGAGTCCTTGTGCTTGACCTGGGAATGAAAAAAAACAGGGAATGAGTTGGTAGTGGGATCGCAGCAGGTTGCCTGAAGTGGCTGATCCCAATTTTTTTATGTTCTCCCATCCCTGCCCAATTCCAGGTGTTGTTTCCATGGAGCTGGCAGCTCCTCTCCCTGCAGGAGGTGGATGTTGGGTTGGGATCTGGGAGCTGAGGGGCTGGGACAGGGTCAGGAGCAGGGTGAGCTCTGGGATTTGGGATTATCCTGTGAAAAAGGAGGAATTCTGACCTCGGGCCAAACTCTTCTCCCTGCCTTGGGATATGGGAATGCAGTTGGGATCCAGCACCTGGATTCTGCTTCCTAGGGGTGTCTTCACCTGTGTTTTCTTTGGCAGAGCCACCATTCCACAATTTGGGTGGATTTCTGGAATTTCCTGACCCAGCCAGACCCTGGAGCAGCAGCTGGAGTGGGAGTGACTGGGAATTGGGAAGGGCTGGAATTATGGAGTGAGGACTTAACCCCCCAGTGCCCCCAGTGCAATTTGATCCCAAACTGCTGCTCCCTGGTTTCCCCACACTTATCCCAGGGGATATTCCCAGTTCCCAAGGCAGGAGCAGGGATGGGGGGCTGGAGGTGGTGTTGGAGCTGCCAGGGGAAATCATGGCAGGACCAACTGCCTTTTCCACGGGTTTCCATGGATTTCCATCCCAGGGGTGTGGATTTGAGCACATTAACCCGTGACCAGGCCAGCTGCCTTCCTGAAGGGTCATTTTCTCCTTCCTGCAATTATTTTTTATATTAATAAGGGTTGATTCCTTCAGCTTTGTTGCTTCTTCTATCCCGAGGGAAGAAAGCTGGGAAGAGGTAATTAGAGGATGTGGAATGCAGCAGTGAATCCCAGCTGTCCCGAGTCTCTGTTCCTGATAAAAGATGGATTTGTGGTGGATTTTTCTTCCCATGACTTGGGTTTTCCATCAGCTCAGGTGAAGAGCAGGCAAGGAGCGGGAGCAAAGAGCCAAAATCTGTGAATCCCTCACTGGGATTCCAGCTGAAAGTTGTTCCTGGGAGCACACACTTCCCAGGAGCCCTTCTTCCATCACCTGATGGAGCAGCTCCAGCCTTGGTTTGATCCTATTTTTCTCTTGAATATGTTCCATTTGTTTTGCAAAATGACCTGCAGGGAAAAAAAAAAAAAAAAAAGCTGGATCAAAGCAGTGTGAAGTGAAGTGTTTAAAAAAATCAAGACTTAACTGGAATATTTCAGTGCCTCGGGTTCAAACCCTCCCCCTCTGTTGTTGTTTTCCCTCTGAGATGGGTGAGGATGGTGAGATGGGAGTGGCTGAGGAGGGCTGGGAATGTTATCCAGCATTTCCCCAGCTCCCTGCTCTGTGTTCCTTTTGCTTCTCCCAGGTCCCATTTCAGGAATGAGCAAATAACTGGGAGAAACCCTCTTTGTTCCAGCTGAATTCTGTGGCAGATGGAGCCAGGCAGTGCCCATTCCATACCTTTTCCCTGCTTCACCTCACATTTCCCAATGGAATCAGAGGAAGGGAAGCCTTTTTTTTTTTTTTTTTAATCCCACCAAAAAATTGATAGGAATAAAGCCCCCTGGAGCCCCTTCCCTCATCCCAAAAGGATCAGCAACCCGAGCATGCCTCACTGTAGGAGCACAATGCCACAAACCCACAACCAATCCATGTTTTTCCTGTTTTTTCCCACCTTTTCCCAGCAATGCACGGCTGTTCCCAGGTCGTGGAGCTGCTCCTGGAACGGTAAGCAGTCTCCTTCCAGCTTTTCCAGCTTTTTCTCCCCCAGCTCCCATTCCCTGCCAGGGTTTGGACACAAAGGATGCTTGTGCTGTTCCACTGGGGAAGCACAGCTGCCCTGCCCTCCATCCCGAGGCTGGCTCCTCGTGCTCCAGGTTTTTCCCAGCTGGGAAAGAGACAAGGATTCCCTGGGGATGGGCTCCCTCTTGGTTGTGAGACAAATCCCAGTTATGTAACTCAGCCCTGGCTTTGTTTTCCCTGCTGATTCATTCCCAGTGTGACAACAACCAAAGCAGCTTCACTAGGCTGGGCTTATCCTTGTTTTCCTGGGAAATTGCTGGGAACTGGCTTTAAAGCAGCTCTGTTCCCTTTCTCTGTTCTCCCTTCCCAGAGCTGGAGCTGCTTTCCCTGGGAATCACAGCTCATCCCAACCTGTCCATGCTTGGCCCAACATAAACAGCTCTGTGATCTAAGCTAGGCTTTAATCAGTTTTCTCTCATTTCACTGGAGTTTAACCTGAATGAGATTGGTGGGCTCTTGATTTTGTACATCATTCCATGAGGATCTGGTTATTCCCTGCTTCCAGTGCACACCTTGTCCCTTCTGGAAACCCTCTGGTCAGGAAAAAGGGAATTATAAAAGATCTGTAGAGTCCAAACGAGCTGAACCAGATCTCTGATAAAAAAAAAACAACCCCACAAATCATTCCCCAGGCCCTAAAACACCAAGACAGTTTTATCCATGGTCTGTGGACGAGCTTTATATATTCCATTTTCAACCCCAGCTGCTGAGAGTCTTCTTCCATAGGGATTTTGGAGCTGCCCACAGCTCTGTCACGGTTTTTTCTCCTCTCCCATCCAGGTGCCAGTACAAACCTGACAGCAGGGACAGCTGTGGGGTCACTCCCTTCATGGATGCTCTCCAGAACGGGCACGTCGGCATCGCCCGGCTGCTCCTGCAGAAACACCAGGTGGGTGCCAAAATTCCTCACTGCCTCCTCCAGGAGCTGAGCCAGGGCTGCCAGGACAGGTGAGCCACATGTTCATCGTGACTGGAGCGTAAGGAAGCAAGTTCCCAAATTGTAAAGAGAGAAATTGTGTAAAAAGGCAAATTGCCCCGGGAGAGAGAAGGATTTGGCTGAGTGAGGTGGGCAGGAAACAGCTCCTGGGGCAGGAATCGTGGAATGGTTTGGGTTGGAAGGATCTTAAAATCATCTCATTCCTTGGGTTGGAAGGACCTTAAAAATCATCTCATTCCACCCCTGCCATGGGCAGGGACTTTCCATTATCCAAAGTGATTCCAAGCCCTGTCCAAACTGGCCTTGGACACTGCCAGGAATCCAGGAACAGCCACAGCTTTTGTGGTAAACGTGTCCCCAGAGCTGGTGGAGTGGGACAGTGACACCAGGCAGTGGCAGGAGGGGACAGGACATTCCCAGCACTCCAGGGGCAGCTGTGGCAGATCCAAAAGCAGCTCTTGGAATGCCAGGACTCAGCGTGGAGGCTCCAGTGGCCGTAGGTAACATGGAAATGTCCATCCATGAGTTATCCAGAGCTCCTCCCTCTCTCCTGGCAGCTCCTGCTCCTGTGCTGGCTCCCAAAAATCCCTGATTTCCTCCAGGGAATGCCATTAGAACCAATTGTGCACAGCAGGAACCAGACCACTGCAATCAATAATTTATTGATGATTGATTGGTTGATTGCTGGTTGATCCCAGCTGGTTGGGGCCCCCTCATGGCTGATTCTCCCAGAGGTGTTGGTCAGATCCTGGTTTTCCAAAAGAAAAGGAAATCCTGTTTTCTGGATGGGGAAGTTTTGGGAATTTTGTTGTGGTTTTAACCTCACATTCCAGGCACTGAGGGTGGGAGAGGTGGGAAACCTCATGGAAGTTTCCTGGCGGTGCCAGTGCTTCCAGAGGGTGCTGATCTCATTTGGGATGAGTGCACTTTGTGTTATTTCCATGATATTCCTTAACTGCAGGCCTGTCCCACAGCTGTGGATGCCCTGGGTGCTCAGGCCCTGCACAGGGCAGCTGTGACAGCCCAGGATGGCTCCATCCAGTTCCTGGTGTCTGAGCTGGGTGTGGATGTCAACGGGAGAGCGACGTCCCTGCAGCTGCCAGCCCTGCACTACGCAGCCAAGGTTTGTCCCTGCTCCCAAATTCCCTTGGAGAAGCCTGTGCCAGGCACCTAAACCAGGCTGGATCAGGTGTTTGCCACCACAGAGGACTTGCATTCCTGGCTCATCCTCTGCCACTGCCCTTCTGCTTGTGACCAGTCCCATTCCCTGTTTTCTGGGCATCAAATGAAATGTGGGCAGCAGGGTGAGGGTGGGATTCTCCTCCTCTGCTCTGCTCTGGTGAGATTCCACCTGGAGCACCAGATCCCAGCCCTGGGGCCAGGAGCTGGAGCTGCTGGAGGAATCCATGGAGCTGCTCCAGGATTCTGCTCTGGATCCAGGCTGGGAGAGCTGGGGGTGCTCACCTGGAGAGAAGGATCCTGGGAGAGCTTCCAGCACATTCCAGGGCCTGCAGGGGCTCCAGGAGAGCTGCAGAGGGACTGGGGACAAGGGATGGACAGGACACAGGGAATGGCTCCCAGTGCCAGAGGGCAGCCATGGATGGGATCTTGGCCATGAGGAATTCCTGGCTGGGCTGGAATTGCCAGAGCAGCTGGGGCTGCCCCTGCATCCCTGCAGTGCCCAAGGCCAGGCTGGACACTGGGGCTGGAGCAGCCTGGGACAGTGGGAGGTGTCCCTGCCATGGCAGGGGTGGCACTGGATGGGGTTTGAGTCCTTCCCACCCCAGGAATTCCATATTTGTGTCCAGCTGCCTGCAGAGGAGGGACAGGACACGTGCAGAAGTGGGAAAGGAGAACTGGGAAGGTGGGGGGGAGCTCCCAGAATTTTATCTGTGTCCTTCACACCAGAGTTGTTTTGAATTCCAGAATCATTGGAGCTTTCTCCTCCTCCCAGCCTGTGTGGGGAGCAGAGCTGTGGGTCCTGCAACATCCCCTGGGAATGCAGAGCAGATCCCAACACTTCCCTGCTGACCAGGATCCCTCCTGGCAGCATGGGAATTTCCCTGCCCAGATCCAGGGATGTTAAACTCAGGATTTTAACAGCACTCTGAGCCTTGTAGTGGGAGTTAAACCTTATCCCAGTGCCCTGCTCCTACAAAAACATCTGGAAATGCAGAGCAGATCCCAAAACTTCCCTGCTGACCAGGATCTCTCCTGGGATCCAGCTGGCAGCATGGGAATTTCCCTGCCCAGATCCAGGGATGTTAAACTCAGGATTTTGGCTTGTAATGGGAATAAAACCTCATCCCAGTGTTCTGCTCCTGCAAAAACATCTGTGACACTGTCTGGGAGTGACACTGTCTGGGAATGCAGAGCAGATCCCAAAAGTTCCCTGCTGACCAGGATCCCTCCTGGCATCCAGCTGGCAACACAGGAATGTCCCTTCTCAGATCCAGGGATGTTAAACTCAGGATTTTAACAGCACTCTGAGCCTTGTAGTGGGAATTAAACCTCATCCCAGTGCCTTGCTCCTACAAAACCATCCGTGCCACTCCCTGGGAATGCTGGCATCATCCAGCCATGCCACAAAGGAGCCCTTTCTCCCATTTTCCTGGCCTCCTGCTCCCAGAAACCACGTTCAAAGCCCTTCTGGTTGCCAAGGGTACGTTGAACAGCAAGGCTCTGGGGGGAATATAATGTGCCTTGGACAACAATGTCCCTGCTCAGATTCAGGGTTGTTAAACTCAGGATTTTAACAGCACTCTGAGCCTTGTAGTGGGAATTAAACCTCATCCCAGTGCCTTGCTCCTACAAAACCATCCGTGCCACTCCCTGGGAATGCTGGCACCATCCAGCCATGCCACAAAGGAGCCCTTTCTCCCATTTTCCTGGCCTCCTGCTCCCAGAAACCACGTTCAAAGCCCTTCTGGTTGCCAAGGGTACGTTGAACAGCAAGGCTCTGGGGGGAATATAATGTGCCTTGGAGAAAATCCCAGCTCCTGGCTGATTTGGGAATGATTGGATGGGATTCTCTCCCTTCCCTCCCCGGGCTCAGTGTCACTTTGTATTTACAGCACCATTTGTTTGCCTGGTGGATTGTGTTTTTATCTCCCTCTTTTCTTATTCTTTTGCATTTATAAACACATGAAAATCAAATTATTTTTTTAAATTCAATTTGCTGCCAGGGCTGTGGCAGCTGCAGCAGTTCCTGGCTCGGTGTCTTTACCATGGAATTGGGTTTGCAGGGAAATGGGAGCCTTGGGATCCTGTGGAATCCTATGGGAATAGGGAAAAAGAGAGGATGTGTGGGGGGATAAAAATAAGAGCTTTCCATTCCCAGGCTGCAGGACAAAGACTAATTCATGGCATTGAGGATGTAATTCCAAAATCAGGCGTGTTATTTAGGGAGAAAGGATTTATTTCTGGAAAAGCCTGTGCAGGGTGGAAGGAGGTGGGGGCTGTGCTGGGTTTTTCCCTGTGGAATTTCAAATTGGCTCCTGACAGAGGAAGGAGGACACAGTGCATTGTGGCTGGCTGGGTCTTCTCCCAGGGGATCACAAATCCTGGAGGAATTCTTTGGGAAATGCCAGTGCCTGAGGGAGGCAGCTGAGCAACAGCCCGGATCAGCAACAGGTTCTGCTCCTGGAGCTGGAATAACCCTGGAAAAATCAACTCCAGATCCCCTGGGAATTGGATGGATTTGAAACTCAGAGTTGGAGAGACCCCAGGGCCTAAAGGGGCTCCAGGAGAGATACCTGGGATAAGGGATGGAGGGACAGGACACAGGGCATGGCTCCCACTGCCAGAGGGCAGCCGTGGATGGGATCTTGGGAACTGGGAATTCCTGGCTGGGCTGGAATTGCCAGAGCAGCTGGGGCTGCCCCTGCATCCCTGGAATATCCAAGGAAAGGTTGGAGCAGCCTGGGATAGGGAAGGTGTCCCTGCCCGTGGCTGGGGTTGGAATTTGATGATCTTTAAGGATTTTTTCCAACCCAAACCGTGCTGGGATTTTAGGAAGGTGCCTGGTGGCTCCTTTCTGGCCAATTCCCATGGGATGGACATGATTCCCATGGGATAACAATTGCTGCCTCATGGATCTGCTCTGAAGGCAGCTGAGCCTGATTTCCATCTGCTCCAAGATCCTCTGGAGCTCCTGGTGCCCCCAAACCTGACCAGGACAGAGCAGATCTGGGCAATCCCAGGTTGGGGATGGATCCAAGCACAGAGCTGATCCCAAATTCCACGTTCTGCAGGAAGGACACGGACACACCATCCAGACCCTGCTGTCCCTCGGTGCTGATCTGCAGGCCAAGGATGGGAAGGGCCGTTCTGGTGAGAATTCCAAGCTGGTTTTCCAAGCTTTATGTGACACCAAGAGCTTCCATAAGCACATCCCAACCTCAGCATGCAGGGGGAGATGCCAAATCCACGGATACATTTGCTCTGGGAGCAGCATGAGGGATCATCCCAGGATTTTTTTGGGCATTTTGCATTCCCTGGATTTCAATTTGCTGGAATTTCTGCTGGGGCTTTTCCCTTCTGGGAAAGAAAAGACCCAAATTGGGAATTTCCTGCTCATTTTTCACCTGAGGAGCTTCAATGCTGCCTCTTCCACCTCAAATTTGGCTGGAATGATTCTGTTGGAAGCAGGTTGGATGGACAAACACAAGGATTGAGCTCTCCAGCCTCAATTCCTTAGCAAACAGCCTGGAAATGGCTGATGAGCAAATAATACCAGAGAGCTGGCACGGAAATGGAGTTGCTATAGCGATGCCGGAGAGTCGGCATTCCCAGCGGGAAAGGCTCAGGCAGCTCTTGCATCAGCATCTCCCAAAAAAAAAAAAAAATTAAAATTAAAAAAAAAGAGACAAATTTGTTTCAGCCATCGCCAAAGTTGGCAAATTTCCCAGCCCTGGGGTTTGGTTGAAGCCATGTTTTAGCAGTGCCATCTCTCCCCCCGCCCCCTCAGTGACTAAATCCGAGCTCTGCTGAGCTCACCCAACCCTGGGATGTGTTTTCCTGTGGCTCCTCCTTGGCTGGGTTTGGGTCACTGCGTCCTTGGGAAGCTTCTCATCCACATCAGGATTATCCAGAGGGATCAGGATGCCTCCTTTGGATTAGATGGAAGGAAGATTTTTTTTACAGTGATGGTGGGGAGAGGTTGGGCTGGAATTGCCAGAGCAGCTGGGGCTGCCCCTGCATCCCTGCAGTGCCCAAGGCCAGGCTGGACACTGGGGCTGGAGCAGCCTGGAATGGTGGAGGGTCCCTGGGTCCCTGTCCATGGCAGGAGGGTGGAACTGGCTGATCCTTAAGATCAGACTCAATGATCCCAAACTTAATCCTGCGATTCTATCCCAACCCAAAAACCCAAACCGCTCCATAATCCCACACTGGAGAAACTCATTTTTCACCTTCCACCTGTTTATTCCCGTGGGAATCCTGTTTTCCTGCAAAGCAGGATGAGCTGAGCCCAGCTGGTGTTGTGTCCCCCAGCCCTGCACGTGGCCAGCGCCGGGCAGCGCGCGGAGGCCGCGGGGATCCTGCTCCAGGCTGGGCTCCAGGATGCTCCTGATGCCACGGGAATGCTGGCCCAGCAGCTGGCCAGGAGGCCTGATGTCATCCAGATCTTCCAGGGAACACCAGTCAGCACCTGAGGAACAGGAACCTGCTCCTTTTCCACATGGTACAGTGGTTATTCCTTCCTACATTTAGGGAAACAGCTGATTAAATTCCTCAAATTGATCCCCCAAGTGAGGAGCATCTTTAAATTAAGGATCCCCCAAATAGGGGATTTGCCCCAAAAAGACAACCCTCTTCAATTGTGTCTCCCACTAATGAGAGAACCCCCAAAAATTAAGAAACCCCCCAAATAGAGGAAAAACCCCTAAATTGAGGAAAACCCCCCAAACTGATGAAACCCCAACCCCCTTAATGGAGGATCCCCCCAGACTGAAAACTCCCCCAAATTGATGAATACCCTAAATAGAGGAGGAGCCCCCCAGGTTAAGGAGCCCCCCAAACCTGAGCACTCCCCAAACCTAGTCTGTCCCCAAATAACCTCCCATAAGTCAAAGATTTTTACCCAAAATTGAGCAGAGGAGGCAAGCTTGGCATTTGGGAGTTGATTTAGGAGAAATGTTTTAAATAGGATTATCTCAAAAGATAATGGAGGTGATGGGTCTGGGCTCTTCCCTGGCAGGGTGGGGAGGCCCTGGCACAGATTTCCCAAAAAAGCTGTGGCTGCTCCATCCCTGGAAGTGTCCAAGGCCAGGTTGGAGCAGCCTGGGATAGTGGGAGGTGTCCCTGCCCATTGGAATGAGATGATCTTTAAGGTCCCTTCCCACCCAAATCATCACATTCCTGTTATAAATCATTATAAATTTATTTTCTTCTTTCACTTCTTCCTGTGCAGCTCCCTGAAACAGAACCATCCAAGGGAAGTGCCACTTCCAGGGATCCTCGTGGCTTTTCCTGGGAATTTCCCCACCCTGAACATCCCCATGGAGAAGATCCACCTGGATCATGGATTTTCTAGCTCTTCATGGACCTGCTGTCCACTAAATTGGTTTAATTTGCAATTTAATTTTTAATTTGACATCTTTGGGTAGGACAGAGACTCTTGAAGCTGCATCAACCTTTTGAATCCTTTTTGTAGCTGATCCCAAAACCTGCAGGAATCTGTAGTGGGACCTGAACCTTGTGAGAGAACATCAGGGATCTCTGGATCAGACTAAATTAAGGAGGTGTTTTATCCCAGACTGGAATGCTGGGCAATTCCCAGCTCTGATGAACTTTAAATCCCAATAATCTGCTCTTGGAAGCCTGGAACACCCAGCAAGGTAAGAGCAGCTCTTGGGTTTGTGCAGCTGGAATGATAAATTCCACCAAAAACTGATGTGTCTTTGTCTGTTTGTGATGCCAGGAGTTAAAAACGGATGGAATTCTGCTTTTTTGGGGATGGCAGATGTTAAAAATCAGGAAGGGAGTGAGTTAAGGTGAGCACCACCTGGGTTTGAGTGGGAAATTCCCACCTTGCTATCCCTGGAGCAGGAATTTTGGATTAAATTTAAATTTAATCCTTAAATTTAAAATTTAAGGATCTATGGATCCTTAAATCCATAAATCCTGCTCTGGCTTCCCTACAGCAGGAAATGCAAGGGGCTGCTTCATTCCCACTTTTTTATCATTTTAATAAACCATTAAATTTGAGCTGTGTCCTCCCAATATTGCTGATGAAAAAAACCCAGTGGGAATCTACCCAAATATCCATGGAAACACAAAGGGAAAACTCCTTAAAAACATGGGAACACCTTCAAAACACAAAGGGCAACTTTTGCATTATTTTGAGGGTTGGAAAAGGAACGTGGGTTCAGCTTTGTGCCTGCAAAATTCCCCCAGAAAATTCTGGTTTTTCCAAAAACTTTTCCTGCCTGTTTTTTATTTTTTTTTTTCCCCAAACAGGGTTTTGGGAAGTAGGAGTGCAGCCTAATTAGGGGTGTTTGTTGGGATAGTTAGCAAATTTCCCATCAAAAGTGGCTCCATGGGGTGCTTGGGATGGAAAAGCATCGGATGTGCAGGAATTGGGGGGGGTCCAGTTAACCCCCCCTAAACTGAGGAGCCCCCAAATTGAGGAACCCCTCATTCAAAGACCCCACTAAACTACAACCCCCCCTAATTTAAGAACTTCCCTCAAGTGAGGATGCTCCCCAATATTAAGGAACATCCCCAAACTGAGGATCCCCTTGAAATGAAGGATCCCCCAAATAGGGGACTTGCCCCCAAAAGAGAACCCCCTTCAATTCTATCCCCCACTAATCAGAGGTCCCCCAAAAATTAAGAACCCTCCCAAACAGAGAATCCTTTCTAAACAGAGGGAAAACCCCCAAATTGAGGACCCCCTAAATGGGGGATCCCGATGAATCCCCTAAACAGAGGAACCCCCCAGGTTAAGGAGCCCGTCAAAAGTGAGGACCCCCAAACCTAGTCTGTCCCCAAATAAAGACCCCCCACAAACCGTGGGGCCCCCTCCAAGTGGAGGAAATTCCCTAAACTCAGGAACCCCCAGATGGAGGATCCATGAAAATTGAGGACCACCCCCCACTGAAGGGCCCCCCTAAACTGAGACCACCCCAAATAAAGGACTCCCCCAAACTGAGGACTCTCACAAATTAAGAACCCCCTAAATTGAGTGTTCCCTAAAGTGAAGTCCCCACCAAGTAAATAAAAGACCCCCTCCCAAACTGAGGAACCCCATAAATTAAGGAGCACCCCCAAATTTAGGACCCCCCCCCCATATAAAGGCTCCCCCCTGCGCAGTCCGAGCCCATAGGGGCGGCCGTGGAACTGCGCATGCGCGCCGCGCCCCCACCACGGTGGCAGCGCCGCTCGCGCGCGCACTGCTCCCGCCCCTTGAGTGACACCCCCGGCAGCCAATGGCGTAGCGTGTGGGGCTGTGATTGGCAGGCGCGTGGGCGGGGCGCAGGTGGCCCAGCCCCGCCCCTCCCGGCGCGGTCCCCTCACGGCGGCGGCTCCATTTTCTCGCGCTCTCGCGGCCCCCGCGTAGCGCCCGGTTCGCCTCAGCCCCGGCCGAGAGACCCCCGAGACACCGCGCGCCGCCATGAATGAGGAGTACGACGTGATCGTGCTGGGCACCGGCCTCACGGTGAGGAGCAGCCGCCGCCCGCTCGCGCCTCGGGCCTGCTGCGGGCGGCCGCCGCCCTGCCCCGCCCCGCC